CAATGAAGCTTTCGAGCTGAAATTTTTACCACTTATTAAGGGTGTAAAAAGCCTCAAAAATCCTGAATTACAAGTGTCTGCGATGAAAATTGCATTAATTATTAGCAATTGAAAAAAACGGCAATTTTCGACCATTTTTGAGCTCTTGTGCATAAACAAATTATCGGAATTTAATCGGACTTTTTTCATTTTATAGGCTTATTTAATACCTACCTTTTTTGTATAAACTTTTTTTCGCTATGATTAATAGCTTTTTTACGTGAGTCAAAAAACCACTTTTCCATAACTTTGACCACTGTTAAAACAAAGTTTCCCAACTAGCCTCGAGTTGATTTTTTGATATTTTATTTATAACAAGTTTCCGAACAATATTCCGCAGAGAAACTTCTAATAGTATTTTTTTCCCGAAACAGGCTCTACCATGTCTATAATGACTGGGCTAGTAAAGAAAGGCATAAATTAGAAAAAGAAATGTATGTCGTCAGTAAATTTTATTTTATTGGAGAAAAATTATAACATATTAGAGACAGAATTAATAAACAATGGAATAATTGATGCTGTAATTTTATAACAGAATTACAGAAGAAAATATAAATCAAACTCAATCATTTTTAGAATCGGAACACTAATTGTGTTTTTTCTCAAACACTTTTTTGAATTTGAACTGAAATCCTAATTATCCAAATCATACTGTATCGTATATTTCCGCGCTGGGCTTTTTGGTGATATATTTTAGCAAGTTTGCACTTTTTACAAACATACAATACATTAAGAGCATATATTTATTTCACTAATTTTTAAAATCGATACCTTGCTGCGGCATATTCTGTTGCTGAGCATAACCGTGATACAAAATAGTGTGTCTTTTCATCTCGTATTTCCTCTTACAAGCGTACTTGCACATCTCGCAGGAATATAAAGTGTCCCGTTTGCAGTCTTGGAAATAATGCGCCTTCATCGAATTCATATTTTTGTATTCCTTCTTGCATTTGGGACAAGCAATTCGTCCAACTAAAAAAAAGGAAACAAATAAGGAGGCAAATTGAACTGAACAGAATTGTGGAAAGTTGCTCCCAGAAGATATAAAAAAAACTGGGAATATATTTTTTGCATATACAGGGCGGTCCATGATTGTACTGCTCCTGTAAAAGCATAGAAAACTATGAATATTTTAGTTAATTGGGTCTATTTACACTAATGGAAAAAAATTAAGGGATCAAAATAAAAATTTAAATATTCGGCGATTTTTCAAATGGCTGTATCTTTGATAAAAATGGTCGTATTGGAGTAAAAAAAAAGCAATTTGAAGCTTNTATAATGACTGGGCTAGTAAAGAAAGGCATAAATTAGAAAAAGAAATGTATGTCGTCAGTAAATTTTATTTTATTGGAGAAAAATTATAACATATTAGAGACAGAATTAATAAACAATGGAATAATTGATGCTGTAATTTTATAACAGAATTACAGAAGAAAATATAAATCAAACTCAATCATTTTTAGAATCGGAACACTAATTGTGTTTTTTCTCAAACACTTTTTTGAATTTGAACTGAAATCCTAATTATCCAAATCATACTGTATCGTATATTTCCGCGCTGCGCTTTTTGGTGATATATTTTAGCAAGTTTGCACTTTTTACAAACATACAATACATTAAGAGCATATATTTATTTCACTAATTTTAAAAATCGATACCTTGCTGCGGCATATTCTGCTGCTGAGCATAACCGTGATACAAAATGGTGTGCCTTTTCATCTCGTATTTCCTCTTACAAGCGTACTTGCACATCTCGCAGGAATATAAAGTGTCCCGTTTGCAGTCTTGGAAATAATGCGCCTTCATCGAATTCATATTTTTGTATTCCTTCTTGCATTTGGGACAAGCAATTCGTCCAACTAAAAAAAGGAAACAAATAAGGAGGCAAATTGAACACAAGAGAATTGTGAAAAGTAGCTCCCCGAAGATATAAAAAAACTGGGAATATATTTTTGCATATACAGGGCGGTCCATAATTGTACTGCTCCTGTAAAAGCATAGAAAACTATGAATATTTTAGTTAATTGGGTCTATTTACACTAATGGAAAAAATTATGGGGTCAAAAGAAAAATCCAAATTTTCGGCGATTTTTCAAATGGCTGTATCTTTGATAAAAATGGTCGTATTGGAGTAAAAAAGAGCAATTTGAAGCTTGAAGTTTCTAATTTTTGGATCTTGCAAAAAAAATTTTTTGAAGTAACATGTATCGCGCAATCGTAATGAATATCATGAAAAAAAATTTTTCGAAATTTTTTTCGATCTTATTTTTTGTGTACGGACTTGAAAAAATTTTTTCCAACTTAACCACCTTATGAATTAGATAGGTTATTCATTTCGTTTCAATTTCTTTTTTTTTTTGTCTCGATACGACCATTTCTCGCTGAGCTATCGGATTTTGAATGAAAATGGATCATTTTCTCTTTGTTCATCGATATCTCAGAAACCAATGGTTGCACAGAAAATCCACGGTGGGTTTCAGAAACTTGAATGAATTCTCTACAAGGTCCTGGCACGGTTTTTTAGAAAAAAAAATGTTTTTTTTATCCTTAACATGACTTTGAAGAATCGTAAAAAATAGGAATTTTAGGGGTCTTCTAGAAAATCACGTGCCACATTGAGAATATTGGGAAAATGGCTAATGTTAAGTGTGCCTTTTACAGGTCGTTGTACCCATAAAAACCATACAGAGTTTCAATTCGATCCATCAAAGCAGTTTTTTGTTTCATTCGAATGAATTTTTTAAAAAATTAAAGAATCACGTTCTTTGCCTTTAAATACTCGTAATCCGTAAAAAATGAAAAAAATGATCAATTTTCATTGAAAGTCCGATAGCTCAGCAAGAAATGGTCGTATCGAGACAAAAAAAAAAAAAAGAAATTGAAGCGAAATGAACTACCTATCTAATTCATAAGCTGGTTAAGTTGGAAAAAATTTTTTCAAGTCCGTACACAAAATATAAGCTTTTTTTAAATTCCCGATGTGACCATTTTCACCTAAATGTCTGTCAAAAATCACTGAAAACTTTCGGAAATTCTTTTGACCCTTTAATTGTTTGTATAAGTGTATTGTTTTGGAAGATTTCAGCATAAATACTATGAATTAAAGAATCATACAATCAGTTGGAATTAAATCTTTAAAATACTTACCTAATACGTTTTATATTTTTTCATGAATTAGCAATTACGGTTATAGTTTGATGATATGATAGTATGGTTCTGTCAATAAATATTATTTATAAACAACTATATTAACAGTAACTGTTTTTGCATGTATTGTCGAAATGTAGATTGTAATATTACCTATTATTGAAACATTGCTTCTGTCCCCATAGAGACAGAAAATAAAAACACATTTTTAAGCAAAATATTACAAAACTCAAGTGTTTGAGCGAAAATCAACTGTTTGCATGTCGGTTTTCGCCCATTTCTTAGTTTTGCAACAATTTTGAGTGAAACAATTTTACGGGATGGAAGATGAAAGAAGATAGGAGCTTCAAATTATATAATATTTTGGGATCCATATTGTGCCTGAAAAACTTTTCTAAAAAATATGTTACCATTATTAACATGCCTCCATATTAAAGAAAATTTGAACATTTAAGGTATTTTATTGATATTTATTAATTATAATACTAATATGTACATAGTATTAAAAAAAGATACAATTAACTTTGTGAAAAAAATAAGTTACTGAATTTTTATAAAGATGAAATTCCTAAAATATTTTAAATAACGAACATGATACTGCCCGCCTCTGTTCAATTTGAAAGTGTCCTCCTTAGTCTTGAATAGTGAGATACAGTGGCAAATACACGTTAGTATGTCTCAAAATCCTGAGAAATTCCACGACCAAATTTGAATTCAACGCAAAAAAATAATTTAAAACATAAGATGTATCATCTTGCGAATCTAAATCTACTGTTTGAATTTTCCGTGTTTGACAGCATTATGTCGCCACAGGACATACTTCCTCTTGCACTTATAGCTGCACATATCACAAGAATAACTTGTGTTCTTGGTACAGTCCTGGGAATAATGAGATTTCATCGTATTTAAGTTTTTGTACTCTTTCTTGCATTTGGGGCACGCTATTCTGGCATCTAAAAGAGGGAAAGATCAGTACACAATTTTAAAGTAGCTATCTGAAACTAATAGCACACTTAAAGGAAAATAGTCATTAGACAATTTTTGGTGAGATTAATTTTATTTAATACCTTTACATTATTTATCTTAATGGAACTACACCTAGCAATACAAAAAAAGCAATCTTATACATGAAACTTATCCCTAAAATTAGAGTAAGACATCCACAAGATAAAGATCAGTTATTTTTTTAACTTGCCACATAAAACATTTTGCCAGTTGACGTTTCATTATTACGATTTTTGCTTTTTCAAAACTGACAATGAACTAGGTGAATTGGTTTGAACAATGAAGTCAAGAAATACAAAAAATCTACTTCCATTATTATTTAAAAAGAATATGTTGAAGGAATTATAATCGTGTTGTTTACTGCTTCTTCAATTTCTGTTCTATTTCGCTCAAGACCACGCTTGAGGCAGGATCAACGTTTGCGTTGATTCTGTACACCAACTGGTCTATCGTTTGCCACAAATACCTGCATTCACAAGGAAAAGGTATATCCAAGGCGAAAAATATTTTAAACGTTACATCTAACGTAGTTAAAATGTCATTGAACATATATCTTTGATTGTCAAGTACAACGAAAAACGCTTGAGGGTTTTGAAGTGGACCCACTACTACCATAATGGGTTGTATCTTTATGTCGAACTCTTGAAGTTTCTTTCTTCTGTCGTTTAGTCTAGCATCCAGGTCCTGAGGCCCCTAAAAGAAAATATTTTATTGCATGGCATCGCAATGTGTGAATTTTCTAGATTTGTAAGGTTTTCCGCATCTAACACAGGGCCTTCTTTGGATACATGACATGAAGAGTCATTAACTTTTAAATAATTTATAAATTAAAACCCCTGGGTTATCCTATATTTGTAAGGAATAACTTGGAGCACACGAAATAAATAAATTCGTTATACAGGGTGTCACTGAAACAAATTAATAAAAAAAGTTTTACAAATTACAAAGAATAGCTAGAGAGATTGTAGATTGTATTCAAAAGTATGTAGCTTCAATTTTATCTTGTTTGCAAATGTCTTCACAAAAGGTTAAAATGTCACGGTGTGCAGTAATTTTGATATAATGGTAATAGAAAAACAATTAGTATACAAAAAAAACTTTTTTTTAATGCTAAGGGAGCGCCCCAACCTCAATGTCGAAGAAAACTTTTTTAAATACTCGATGTTCAGTTGTAGAAAAAAATGTTTAAAAAGTATCTGCTATTAATAAAATTTATTATTGTGACCTTTGATGATATATAACGTTCAATAAAAAAAATTATTACTTCGTTGATATTTATTTTTTAAAGACGCTAGAAAACATAGGTACACCACTTCGAAAGCTAAAATAATTATGAGTGACCTTTAGAAATAAAAATATCAATTTGAAATTTTCAGAATCGATATTTTTTTCAACCTACAAAATGATAAAATAACGAGAAAAAAATATTTTGGAAATTTTTTAAAAAATCTTCAGCGACCTTTAAAATTTTTTTTTTTGACATGATTTAAGGGGGCTCTTAAAACATGATAAAATAACATATTTTCACGAGACACGAAAAAAAATATTCGCTTTTGGTTTAAGTCATCCTACAATGTACGTTTTCAGCCACGAAATTTGAATAATTCTACATTTTTCGAATTTTCACCCCCAAGAACGGCAGTGACAACATTTTCAAAAAAATGGCGATGTTTCGCATGGTACTAGCTACATCCTGCACAGATTTACCTTCGCGCAACTCACTCGGTTTGAAAAATACAATACCTATTTACGTTTTCAGCCACGAAATTTGAATAATTCTACATTTTTCGAATTTTCACCCCCAAGAACGGCAGTGACATTATTTTCAAAAAAATGGCGATGTTTCGCATGGTACTAGCTACATCCTGGACAGATTTACCTTCGCGCAACTCACTCGATTTCAAAAATACAATACCTATTTACGTTTTCAGCCACGAAATTTGAATAATTCTAAATTTTTCGAATTTTCACCCCCAAGAACGGCAGTGATAACATTTTCCGTCGTAACACATTACCCACAAACGAATATTTCCAGGGACTGACGATATTTCAGTGCTAGTTGATTCAAAGTATATAAATGTTATATAGATGTAATAAAAAACTTACCACAACATGCAAGAAAAATCTGTCTGCCATCTCCAGCCTGTTGAGCTTAAAATTTTTCTTGGTGATTTTATTTCTGAGAATGGTAGGTTGGAAAAGCCATGGTAAGACTTTCAAAGACAGAACGGCTAAATCGATACTCATAGAATACAATTCGGGGGCCTGAACTTGTTTTCCTCTTAAAATTTCAACAATGGCAGAAGCTACCCCAGGCCAAATTTTGTGCATCGACTGATTTGTGATACTGGGATATTTCATATTAAAGTCTTCTTCGAACTGAAACCAAAATATCCTTTATTCAATACAAGACAAGGCAGGATAAAATTTAAATGTAAATTTTGATCTTTGGATCTAAATAAAGAAAATAAAGTTTTGTTGCAAGTATGCAACAAAATGCCTCACTATTCTTTACAAAACGTCTTGTACCATTATCTTCGACAATAAATGTATTAAGTACATAAAAGAACTTACGAGTTTGTACCCCATGGGTTGCTTCAGCGCAGGAAATGTGTGAAAATAAATTAGACCCGATTCTAACGATTTCAACTTCAACATACGTATATTGAATGTACTCCTCCAATCTTTCAGGGTTTCTTCCCAAATGCTATTTTCAGGTTGTAGTAAAGAATTATAACAAACTTTTTCATTCTCAGTTATATCAACTATTGAAATTCCTTGGTCATCTTTGTCTACAAAGAGAAATTAAAACAACTCAAATCAATAACAACAACGATACCAGTATGACAATAGTACTCCATATTCAACTATAATGACTTCTACGTAGAATCGACAATAAACAGAAGCAGAACATTACCTTTCCTTTGTCCTAGAAAAGAAACGTAAGATATAAAATTTCAAAAAGGATTGTAAAACTTTAAATACCTTCGCTGGGCTTGTCGAACTTGGCAATCGTCAGCGCCCTCTTGCAGTTAACCCATCTCGAATACAGTTTACCCCTGGGAAGGATCTTATCCTTTGAGTAAGTCTTTTTGGAATAAGGTATAAAGTACGATTCCAGTCTCTCTCCTGGGAAGAGTTCTACAATTTCCTGAGCGGCGTCGCGCAATATGCTCGGGAATCTAAAATAAAACGACGATAAAAAAAATTGTAAGGTGCAAGATTGACATTCAACATTGCTAATTGTGAAGTTACTTACTTATGAGACGGATTGTTTTGTAAAATTAAATTATCAATAACAATTTTGACGAGTTTCTGTCTGCTTGGGTTGTCCAAACCTTGCTGCTTCAGTAAAACAATTTGTCCGTCTGGAACACTCTTCAGCAGATGTTCCAAACCCTAAAATTATTCAAAATAAAACTGATTTAGTGGTACGTCGAAAAAGTTAACTTACGTTAGGAAAAATACTCCTTCTTTCGGTCCATAAGATCCCTAAAACATGCGTGACGTCATTCAGAGTGATCAGTAAAAAAAAAATTACAATACAGGAAAAATAACAGAAAATAAAGTTAGGTAAAACAATTAAAAAAAAACGTAGTATGATTTCTATAATTTTATTACCCGTGTAGGAACAAAAACAAGGAAACATAATTGAACTCTCTCAAAATGGTGCAAGGGGATCGTCGTTTATCTTAACGTAGTACTTCCCTTCGGACAAATTCTCGAGTGGATGTTTTGATTGGCAATGCCTTTTGATCTCGTAGGGGCGTTTATTATAATACTCGCAGAAGACGCACTTGAAGGATTTCTTCTTCATGCAGTCGACTTTCCTGTGATAAGCCAAGGTCAGTTTGGTTTTGAATGTCTTCCAACACTTAGTACAAACGTGACTCCGTTGTGCTGAAAATAAGTCCTAATGTTACCAAAAAAAAAAAGGAATTGGGAAGGAAGACACAAATTTACACAAATTACGTTATACTTTGTCGGGGGACCCAATACAGACATGAGGCAGAGTAAGTTGTAGCGACGGAATTGTTAGATATTGACATAACTCTGTGCATAGAATACCATAAAATACAATGTTTATCACTTTTTTAAACTTCTTTATGTTTAATTCTAAAAAATAATTAGCGTTGAAATAAATTTAAAATTGGATGAAATTCATATCGATGGAATTGGACCGTGTTGGAGTGTTTTTTGTGTACCATTATTTCCTTTTCTTGAGGTGTTTTCCAGTGAATGCGCGAAAATTGGATTCGAAGGTGTCGTATGTGCATCGAAAATGGTGGTGGACATCTTGAACATATGTTGTAGTTTGTTTTGTACTTGTGCCTTATTTTTAATACGAATGATTATTTGGACGACGTGGATCTTTGGGTACTTTAATTATATATTTTTCAAATTCAGAATTTTATTAAAAGTTAAGTTCCTGTTTTAAGAGATTCATAATTACTAAAATTTGAGCTAAAATTTAAGCACAACATTATCTTCGTAGTACAAAATCAATACATTTTATTTTATTTATTTCAAAACTGGAAAGCAATTTTCTTGAAATTTACTAAATGTTTCACAATAATAGTTGTTTACATTTTTTCCGTAGGACAAGTCTGCACGTGGTGTGCATCAGCTGTGTGGCGCTGTTGTCACGTTGTGATGAAACTCCCCAATATTAATACTCGCTGTATTTTGAAAACTGTTAATCTTACATCTGTAATACACAACTTTTTTGTTCATTTACAATTACTCTATCTCATGCTGAAGTTATGGCAGTCATACTTCTCACACCCTGTATAGAACCACAATTGCCAACCCCAAAATCTATTGAAATATATATATTTTTTAGAAGCGCAAATCCGTTACGAAACAACTTGCTTTGCCATATGTCTGTAATTGGCTCAAATAACTAAGTCGAAAATACTTAAACGCGTAAAAAACTGAATTGTTCTAAGTGTTTGTAATATCTATAACTCAGAACACTAATTCTTACCAAATACTTCCAATACCACTTCACATACACCTTAAATGCCAACGTCCTGTGCGGAGGATGATACTAGAAAAATTTGTTGACTTTATACAGTTTGATTTTTAACATATTCTCTGTACAAAAAATTTATGACACTGGTCTTTATCAGCAGATAAAACATATCTTTTCATAAAAAACACAAGGACTAAGGACAAGCAACTAATGTCTAGAAGTTGATAAGTTCCAGCAAAACATATAATCTTTTTAGTTAGTTTTGAAAAAACGTATACTGGTAAATAAAAAAATAACATAATGTCATGATGAAGCAAAACTCTCTTTATTGCTGTTGCAGAAACCTGTAATGGCTCTCTGACAATATTGAGCGTATTTAATGTTAAAAATAAACATACAGATTTAATCACCCTTGTCAAATTTTAGTGCATCGTTAAATCATAATATGCATTCAAATTTGACAGAAGTATTCCAGATCTGAACACCTTGTATATACATACATACATAGGGTGGTATTTGAGTATGTTCCACTAATAAAGGTAATTTTATGAAAAAAAGTTCCTATGGCTAAGATGTAGTTTTGGAGATGCAGGGTGTTATGGGTTTGAAAGATACCACATCTAAATAATTATCTACAAAGATCGTTTTTTTCTGCCTGACCATATAATTTCTTGAATAAATTATTAATTTACTGGGAGAACAGGTCACAATTAAATAATTTGTTGTAAAACAATTTTTTTTATGAAAAACTTTTTATTACGTTTCGGGATTATTTTTTCCCATCTTCAGATAAAACAATAATAACCATGGATTATAATATTTTGTGTAAAATTGTTAACACAGATTATCGAAACTGGCACAAATCTGCTATTCTCAGCTCACGGAATGCCATATCTTGTTTTGGACATCGTATACACATCTTGAGTACGAAGAACGCTTATTTAAAAAAAATTGTTATAGAGCTGTTCTCTGAACTAAGTAATGGCATGTTTACGTAAAACTTAAAAGTAAGTAAAGTAAAAGTAAAGATAAACTCCGGAATTTCACGACTAAATATTTTTGGAATTTGATCAATCCATTTGAATGCTAAGAAAAAGGTATTTTTGGCTTCAAATGCAATTTTCAATGCAATATGCTTACTGAGAATCCAAAAAAAAACTTATGAGTGAATTTGATTGCTAATTACTAGGGCTGTCAGAGAGAGCCGCAATTAAATGGCGTGCCAAGCGAAACATGCGCGAGCCGCTGCCTCAGAATGCTTTTCACGTTCAGGTCACATTAGTATACTGTTGCCTTTGTTATCGTGCGGATGTTTTGAATACATTTTGAATACATTGTTATAAATTATACTAATATATTGCTTATTTTCTACATATTTTATTTTAATGCGCTTAACATGATGTGTACGCCTATGTTCCGCGGCTCAGTTCTGACAGCGCTACTAATTACATTTCAAACGAAAAAGTATGTTTTGCTTTAAACAGTTACAGCATACTTGTTGACAATTCACAAAGTCACTGGCGTAGAAATTTTGTATTTTCAGAAAAATAACATAGAGAAAATTTGAACGCCACTGATTTTCGCCCTTCCAATGATTATGTTTTATTTAAAATATCATTTTCTCTTTAAAACATAATAAGAAATTAAAAAAAATATTCAGTGCCGTTGAAATTATGAGGTATCTAGTAACCATGTATCCTAATATCTCCGCCACTGGTCAATATATTTTAAAACCTTTAACACCCTGTGCAATAGGAACTGTATTTCTTAAAATAATCAGAAAAATTGTCCCCTATATTACCAGAACGTACTGAAAGACCACCCCATATTGACATACTTAAGTATAGATATATATATTTTATAAATAGTTTTTTACGTAGCTTACTGTTTTTTTTTAATAAATAAATAAATAATTTCCAAACAGAACGCATTAAGAAAAAATCATTAGTTCTAAATATTGACACAATAAAAATAAAGGTCAAATTAATACACAGTTTTCTAACGTGCAAAAACTAATTCTACGTAAAATAAAGGAGTACCTACNTTTATAAATAGTTTTTTACGTAGCTTACTGTTTTTTTTTTTAATAAATAAATAAATAATTTCCAAATAGAACGCATTAAGAAAAAATCATTAGTTCTAAATATTGAAACAATAAAAATAAAGGTCAAATTAATACACAGTTTTCTAACGTGCAAAAACTAATTCTACGTAAAATAAAGGAGTACCTACTCAAAACATTTAAAACTGAATTACCATGTCAATAAAAATTATTGTCAAACTTGTTAGCTTGTTCACCCAAAATATTACAGTAACAAAATTATTTTGTACTATGTTTTTTTTAAGAGTAGATACAGCTGTACGTAATTTTTAACTCAAGTTCAATATACTGGTACTCGAGTCACTGGAAAACAATTCACAAGCATTCATCCCAACCACTCGACCGTTCTTCATGGTTGCTATCTTGTGGATTCTGTACAAATGTCTGATAAGGTGGACCTTTTGGTAAGCCCTATAGCTGCAAGTGTCAATGCTGCACTCAAATTTCGGAGACTTTCCGCAGTCGTACCTCACGTGCCTATTTAGGGCAGTTTTTGAACGGTATCTCCGTCGACACATTTCGCATTCAAATACGGGAACACCTAAAACGACATATCTTAGTAACAGATACACCCAAGTGGAAGTGTAAACTTTATCCTTAAATTAATGAAATGGTGTAGGTATATTATTTGTTACTTGTCTTAAATCTGTACTTTGATTCCTACAAAGAAAACATTCCATGGAAAGTTTATCCAAGATTTCAAACTGTACAAAATTGTGGAGATCATTCAACGTCCAGAGAATTACAAAATGTCTCAAATTTATTATCAATTACGATTTTTCGACGACGTAAGCCTCTTGCCCACAACCGAGACTCAATTGCTCAGTCCATAGTCCATATCTTTCGTAAATATACAGGGTGTCCGGGAAAATGTGGGAAATCTCTTAGAAATATGTCCCTAAAGGACGCCGCTGGAAATCAGTTTTTCTTGAATAACTTTTGACGTACTTAATATAATTTAATAAAAATTTTATGTGATGGACACTAGTAAGGACCTCTTAAAATAGTGTCCTTAAAACATATTAAGCTTTTTTAGTTTACCAGAGGCAGGCTAAGCTTTACAACTTAATGCCTAAATTTTAGCAGCCTGTGATAAAAGACTTTCAAATAATAAATCTGGGTAGCTTCAAACTTAGACTAAAAAAAAAAGGTACTCTTGTGTATTGTCGATAAAATGAACCGTTTAAGAGAAAAAGAATAATAAATGAGGTCATGTTTTATTGTTAATAAAAAGGGACTTCTATTTTTTTCTCGATGTTTAATCCGAAAAAATATAAAATTAAAAAAAAGCAGTGGTGTCCCTTAACAAAATTATAGAAAAACTTCATGAGGGAGTTCAACATGGGCTCCGTGAAGTCTAAATTGAGGACTGCTGTACCCGTCACAATAACCCAGCATTGTTCCTTATCACATCCC